GCTGCAGTAGGGGTGCGCAAGAGACAGTGGGAGTCCTGATATTTATCAGACGGTCAGGAGATGGTTGGGCTGGGAGCTGCCTTCCCCTAGTCCGCTGTTCAGTTCCCAGGCTCCTGGGCAGCTGCACCGGTCTCTCCTTCCAGCAAACCTGGGTCATGTGGCTTTCCCTGATCCCCAGAGACTGGACTCCCTTATTTCCAAGCATGTCTTTACTGTGCACTCCCCACCCTTAGTTTGTTGTTTTGTTGTTTTTTGTTTTTTGAGACAGTCTCACTCTGTCACCCAGGTTGGAGTGCACTGGCGCTATCTTGGCTCACTGCAACCTCTGTCTCCTGGGCTCAAGCGATTCTCCTGCCTCAGCCTCCTAAGTAGCTGGGATTACAGGCGCCCACGACCACGCCTGGCTAACACTTTTGTATTTTTAGTACAGACGGTTTCATCATATTGGGCAGGCTGGTATCAAACTCCTGACCTCAGGTGATCCTCCCACCTCGGCTTCCCAAAGTGCTGGAATTACAGGCGTGAGCCGCCGTGCCCAGCCTTCCCACCCTCACTTTGGGAGCCCAAATAGGCCTTTGCTCCTTGCCACCAAAAGCTCCTGCCCCAGTGTCTTCAGCCCTAAGGGCCGAGTCCAAACTCATACCCTGCTAAAATCAATTCTTTTAGCAAAGCCATCCAATGAGCAACTATGAAACCTGCTGCCCGGTGGGTGAGTGGGGGCGACTTTCTGGAGGTCAAGAAGAGTGTGTGCTGGGCATGGTGGCTCATGTCTATAATATCAGCACTTTGGGAGGCTGAGGAGGGAGGATCACTTGAGTCCAGGAGTTTGAGGTTACAGTGAGCTGTGATCGCAACACTGCACTCCAGCCTGGACAACAGAGCCAGACAGTGTCTCAAATTAAATAAATAAGATTTAAAAATGAGTGCTCTTCAGCTGGGGTCCCTTGAATGCACTACAATAAGACACTACAATAAGACAGAACCTGGAATAGGGTTTGGCGAGTGAGGCACTGGCCTGGGGCCCAAAATTTAAGGGGCCTAGTAATCAAGAGAAATAATATTGCAATACAATATTTTTAAAAATCAATGTTAAAACAAAAATATCAATGATGAAAAAAATTGATTTTACTTTTTTTTTTTTGAGACAGAGTCTCGCTCTGTCGCCCAGGCTGGAGTGCAGTGTCATGATCTCAGCTCACTGCAACCTCCACCTCCTGGGTTCAAGTGATTCTCCTGCCTCAACCTCCTGAGTAGCTGGGACTACAGGCTTGTGCCACCACGCCTGACTAATTTTTGTAGTTTTAGTAGAGATAGGGCTTCACGGTGTTAGCCAGGATGGTCTTGATCTCCTGACCTCATGATTTGCCTGCCTCAGCCTCCCAAAGTGCTGGGATTGCAAGGGTGAGCCACTGCGCCCGGCCCAGAAAAAATCATTTTACTTTATGTTTTGAGATGGGGTCTTGTTCTATTGCCCAGGCTAGAGTACTACAGCACGATCACACCTCACTGTAGCCTTGACCTCCTGCGCTCAGGCAATTCTCCCACCTCGGCCTTCCAAAGTGCTGGGATTACAGGCGTTCTTTAAAAAAAAATTGACCATTTATTAACTTTTTCCACTTGGTTCCAACTATGGAGGTGACATTTTCCTGAGTGTCCTGAGGCTGCACAGAGAATCCCCCACTTCCTTCTCCTGCAGATAAACTGGGAAAGGATTCCTCCAGCTTCCTTGGTCTCAGGCTGCAGCCCGGCTGCAGCTTCCGAAAACGAGGGAGAAAGTGGTCACCCCAGGAAGGTAACGGGGTCCACAGCTCCGGAGGCGGCTCCCGGGTGAGGAGCCCTCCGCGGCCAGCAGGGGACGCTGTGGGCCTGCGCCGCCAGAAACCGTTTTGCCAGGGAAGAAGCCGCCGTGCACCCCAGTTCCTGACGCCCACGTCGCTCACAGCCCCAGCTCGCCCGGGGAGCTGACCCACTTGCTCAGCTCCTGGGAGAGATAGCTAACTCTGGGTGTAGAGAACAAAACCAAAGACCAGACGTTGCTCCTTACCCACTAGTCCCCAGCACCCAGGCATAGCCCCTAGAGAATACCACGCCTTCCCCCAGCAAGGCCTCTTAGGTATCTTGTTTGCCCCAGGTCCAAGTAGCATCACCAGCCCGGGTCTGGCTGATTCACTAATTGCCGGTGTCCTCTCTGTTGGGAGTGGAGAGCAGGGAGAACCTTCCAGAAGGGCCACATTCCCGAAGGATTCCAGTTTTGATGAGTTCAGAAGCCCCTTCACCATTCTCAAGCCAAGTGATGTGAAATGAGGAGGGCGGGCTTTCTTCCCGGATGGTCTCCCCTACCCCCGACCTCAGATGCCCCTTTTCCTCCGATAGTCCCTACGGCCCATGGCTCTATGGCCCCCATTGACTCTGGTTCCAGCTCTGGCTTTCCTGGGCCCACTAGGGGCCCTGGGCCCAGGACTTGGAAGCTCCCCTGGGTTACTTCCATTTCTTTTCTTTTCTTTCCTTCTTTCTTTTTTTTTTTTTTTTTTTTTTTTTTTTTTTTTTTTTTTTTTTTTTTTTTGAGATGGAGTCTTGCCTTGCCTGCCACCACGCCTGGCTAATTTTTGTATTTTTAGTAGAGATGGGGTGTCACCATGTTGGCCAGGCTGGTCTCGAACTCCTGACCTCGTGATCTGCCTGCCTCAGCCTCCCAACGTGCTGGGATTACAGGCGTGAGCCACCGTGCCCAGCCTCTTCTCTTTTCTTTTTCTTTCTTTCTTTCTTTCTTTTTTTTTTTTGGAGACAGAGTCTCATTCTGTCGCCCAGGCTGGAGTGCAATGGTGCGATCTCAGCTCACTATAGCCTCCTCTTCCTGAGTTCAAGTGATTCTCCTCCCTCAGCCTCCTGAGTAGCTGGGATCACAGGCGCCCGCCATCACACCTGGCTAATTTTTGTATTTTTAGTAGAGACAGGGTTTCAGTAGAGACAGCGTTTCACCATGTTGGCCAGGCTGGTCTCGAACTCCTGACCTCAAGTGATCCACCTCAAGTGATCCGTCTGCCTCGGCCTCCCAAAGTGCTGGAATTACAGGCATGCACCACTCCTGCAGTGAGTGAACATGAAGTTAGAGGTGACTGTGGCTCAGAAAGGCTGCGTGACTTACCCAAGGTCGCATAGCAGTGAGAGATGGAGTCTGGGCCCAGAGCCAGCACGCTGTCTTTTGGCATTGCCTCCCTGGGAAGGCTGGACCTGCACTGTCCTCTCTGCCCTGCACCGTTTTAGTTCACACAGCTCACTCTTGGCCCGTGCCGGGTACTTGTCTTGCTTTCTAAGAGTGGTTATTTATTGATTCTTTGGATTTCTACTTAGTTCCTCCCCTGTGCCAGGCCCAGGAGACAAAGGCGGAGGCTGCACTCAAGGAGTTCATGGTCTGGGAGACAAGATTCTTCCTGCGTGTCAGCTGAGTCTTCCCAGGCAGCCCGCAGGCCTCCCAAGGGGCAGAGGCTGTTTCCTGCTTCTCCTGCAGCCCACCCGGGGCTGGTGACCTCCTGGTCCCTTCTCAGGGAGCTGCTGCTGCTGCCGCCTCCATCATTGGGTGGGGGCTGGGCAGGCCTGACCCAGCAGGCTATGAGGTGAGGGATAGAGGGCTGGGGAAGGGGTCTGGGAGCTGAGAGCTCAGGGAAGGTATTGGGGGTTTAAGGCTGATGAAAGCAGGCTTCCTTTCTCAAACACCCAAGGGCTAATCTACCGCATGTAATTTGAGCAGCAGGGCCAGGCCCTCAGCTCTGCCTGTGCACAGCCTCCCGTGTTCAGGTCTAGAAGGTCAAGGTTCAGGCCAGGTGCGGTGGCTCACGCCTGTAATCCCAGCACTTTGGGAGGCTGAGGTGGGCGGATTACCTGAAGTCAGGAGATCAAGACCATACTGGCCAACATGCTGAAACCCCGTCTCTACTATAAAATACAAAAATTAGCCGGGCATGGTGGTGCATGCCTGTAATTCCAGCTACTTGAGAGGCTGAGGTAAGAGAATCGCTTGAACCCATGAGGCAGAGGTTGCGGTGAGCCGAGATCGCACCATTGCACTCCAGCCTGGGCAACAACAGCGAAACTCCGTCTAAAAGAAAGAAGGTCAAGGTTCAATCCTTGGCTCTATCACTAAAGTACTGGGACAAACAGGGCCCTTTTGTGTGGATATCTCACCTCTGATTCCTTCCTCCCTATTGTACTCTTGCTGGGAGGAGATTTCCAGAACCAAACCTTAAAAATCTCCTGACTTCTTGTTGTTGTTGAGACGGAGTCTTGCTCTGTCACAGAGGCAGAGGCACTATCTCGGCTCACTGCAACCTCCTCCTCCTGGGTTCAAGCGATTCTTCTGCCTCAGCCTCTTGAGTAGCGGGACTACAGGTGCGCGCCACCATGCCCGGCTAATTTTTGTATTTTTAGTAGAGATGGGGTTTCACCACGTTGGCCAGGAGGGTCTTGATCTCCTGACCTCAAGTGATCCGCCCTCCTTGGCCTCCCAAAGTGCTGGAATTACAGGCATGAGGCACCGCGCCCGGCCTTGCCTCCTGACCTTTTAACAAGGCTGACCTCCCCCAGCCCCCACAAAACCCCAGTTCCAGTTTCCAGCTCTGTGTTCCTGATGAACCAGGTGAGGAACCCACAGCAATCTTAATCCCCAATTTAGAGAGAAGCCCAGGGGGAGCCAAAGGTGAGACACAAGTGATGGGGCGCCCCTGGTGTGGGACAGGGGATGGGGCGCCCTTGGTGTGGGACAGGGGATGGGGCGCCCTTGGTGTGGGACAGGGGATGGGGCGCCCTTGGTGTGGGACAGGGCATGGGGCGCCCTTGGTGTGGGACAGGGGATGGGGTGCCCTTGGTGTGGGACAGGGGATGGGGTACCCTTGGTGTGGGAGGTCAGGGGAGGACTTTCAAGAAAAAGGCTGGAGCCCAGAACCAGGGATGGGGGACAGAGGTGAGGGCAGGTGGCAGGAAGAGACTGCACGAGTGTGCACAGGTACAGCAAGAACAGGTCTGTTTAATGACACAGCTGGGTCTGGTTACAAACATCAGAAACTAGAAAAGGAGAACAGGCAGTTACACAGATGAAGATGAGGATGGGCCAGGAGGGGACACAGGCATAGTAGCCACAGCAGCAAAACATCCTTGGAGACGATACATGTGACCAAGGGGCACACATGGGGGCCCCCCAGCACGGCTGGCGCACATAAATAGACAGGGCCGACTGCCGGCCAGGAGGAGAAGGGGGTGGGGAAAGCCCTCGGCCCTCGGGGCTGAGGGTGAGACCCAGGCATGTGGTCCCGCCAACCTGCTGCCCAGCAGCCCGGATTCCCCGGGGCTACCCTGGTGGCCAAGGCAGGTGGAGCTGGCGGTCGAGGTTTCTGGACGGAGGCCCCTCCCCTAGTGCAGTCATCCCATCCAGAACTTCGCTCTGCCCTTGCCCATTCTAGGACAGTCAGTGAGTCAGTTCCTCTGAGGGAGTAGGGGGAGCCCACTCCTTTCTGCCTGGAAGTGGAATTCAGGAATGTGGGGAGCTGGTCTGAGAAGGGCTGGGCTTTGCCGCCAAGCCGGGTCGCCCCAGCCCTGCCCCTCCAGGCCCAGGTCCTCTGCGCTGCTGCGGGATTTCCTCTTTGCCAGAACACTCTGTTCTCTGCACAACCGGAACCGCTCCCTGCCCCACTCACAGGTGGGGGCCGAACCGAGGCTTCTGGGCCCCGTGGATACACATTCTAGATATGTACGTGTGTGTATATATATGTGTATATATATATTTATATATAGCTCGTATATAGAATATATCTGTATATATGGTAGATGTGTGCGTGATACTCTAGATGGTGATGCGCAGACCTGCATGCCGGCTGGGCTGATAGAAACGGGGCTGGTTTATTCCCCAAGGGACTCCTAGACCTGTCCCGCTTCCCGCCAGCCGCTCAGCTAGGTCCCTCTAACAGTGAGTAGAAAAGCTAAGAAGAGTGGGCCCCGCTCTGCGAGGAAGAAGGGTCCCCCACCCTGCCCGCCGCGCTGGGGTCAGCATCCAGGCAGCCAGCGCCGCCTCCCGGCAGCTCCAGGCGGGGGGACCGTGGCCACCACAGAGGCCTCCTTTGGGGAAGTTGAGTCAGGGATTCCTCCAGCTTCCTTGGCACCCAGAAATGGAGCATCAAGGAGGGTCTTCAGAACTCGGCCTTCTGCTCAAGGTGCTGCCAGGGAGGGGGGTGGAGGGAGGGGTCCTACGGCCCCGAAGAGGGCAGTGTGGCCGGTGGGCTGTGGACGAGATAGGAAGGGAAGGACATACGTTACCAGAGGCAGGGAAGGACCCTCGGGGGAAAGGGGGAGGACCTGGGGCTGGCAAGGTTCACTTCCTGCCAAGAGAGCCGGCACAGTGCAGTTGAAAGCAACCGTAAGACCCAAGTTCTAGTCTCCGTCCTGCTACGAACCTGCTATGTGATCTCAGGCAAGTCTACTGGCCCATGGGAGCTCCGGATCTTTTTCTCTAAAATGTGAATAATGTCTGTCTTGTGACAAACTGGGTAAAAAAGTGTTTCACAAACTGCATAGCACCATACCAATGTGAGCTTTTTCCATTAATTCTGAAATGTGGCGCATTCTGTCGGGCCTGTCTCGTCCCTCCTCGGGCCACCCATCTGTATTCTCGTATTCTCGGTACACACAGCCCCCACTGCAATCATCGTGCCTCCCCGCCCCCACCCATGCGAAGGCGCACACCCTGGAGCAGAGACGGCTCAATAAACGGTGACGCCTGGCCCACCCCTGCTTCCCTGATAAGAGAAGTTGGGCGAGGGCCTTCTAGGACTCTGCTCTGTAACTCTGTCCTACCCTCAAGCCCCTGGGGACTCTGGCAGCCAGAGGCTCTGCAGGCTTAGGCCAGGGACACTAGGGGTGGGCTAGAGGATGTAAAGGGATGTGGGGCAACCCCACCACTTGACGGCTGGGAGCTAACCCCCTTGGAGTGTCAGTTTCCACGGTAGCCCATCTCCATTCAGTCCACAAGGAGCAGAAGTGGGCGGAGGAGGAGACTTCGGCAGTTTCAAAATGTTTGGGGTTTGGAGAGATCTTAGTCCCTAGGGCAGGGTGGGGAGGGCAGGATGGGCAGCGTGCTGGGGAACTTGGGCCATGTGTTTCTGATTCACTGGGGCTCGCGCCCAGCCAGCTCTTTCCAGTCCCTCTTGGCCCTTGTAAAAAAGCCCTTTTCTCTGGAAGCAGGAAGTCTTGTGTCCTGGCTGTAAACAAACTCATCTTTGGCAGCAGAGCCTGCCTGGGGAAAGGGGTGGGAGGGCAAGCAAGCCCCCTCCCCTCCTCTTCCCCTGTCTTTTCCCTGGACCCTCTGGGTGACAGCTGGTCGGGGGTGAGGAGGCAACCACAGCTCTCCACGCTCTGCCAGTGCCCTCCTCTGGTGGGCCAGCATCTGCTTGTTTCCCATTGACTCCCAGGTCTCAGGCAGGCCAGGGCCCAGCTGTGCACATCTGGAGTTGGCTTGGCTCCAGCCAGCAGTTCCCGAGGACTCCACTCTCTTGGGGTGGTGCTGACGGGAGAAGGGGGAGGGGAGCAGGAGCCAGCCCGGGGCCAGTGTGGTCAGCAGCAGGAAGGGCAGGAGGCCTGGCGTCCCCAGCTGCCCTCAGGGGACCTCCTCCAGGAGCTGTGCCTGTGAACAGGAGGGCCGGCAGTCTTGGGGGCCCGTGCGGAGCCCGGCGGGAGACGCCGCCTTTTCCATGGGAAACTGCTGGGAATGTTTCTCTACCACGCGTGTCCCGGGCTGCTGGCTGACCCCTGCTTCCCATTCCCGCCTCCGCTCCTCTCGCTTCTTCCTACTCGAGCCTTGCCTCCGCCTCTCCATTCAGCTCCCAGAGTCAGCCTCCCCTTGGGGGCCCAGGGAGGCTGAGTGTTCCCAACCACCACGTCTGGGGGCTAGCCCTCCCCTCACGCTCCGAGTCAGCAGGAGTCACAGAGGGCGGCCACCCTCCTTGAGCCACCTCCTGGGCCCAGAACTGGAAGCCCAGCCTCCAGGTCAGCCTGGAAGTAAACATCCCCTTACTTGTGTGCGTGTGAGTGACACCCATGTAGCTCCCTCGTGGGCTGGGACATGTGTGTGTGTATGTGTCCTCGTGATCCTCCTGGCTCTAGCCCTGTTGAGGCAGAGGGCATTTAGCAGCACTGGTAGGCATGAGATGAGAAAACAGCCCCTTGTGATTGGCACCCAGGGAGGATTGGCACCCAGGGAGGAAGTGGTTGGGCTGGCCTGGGCTGCCTCTGAGCCTGACGATTGGACCTTCCCGCCGGGAGCCTCTGGCGCCTCTCTGCCTGGGCAGCTGTGGCTTTGGGTGCTCTAAGCACTCCCTGGCTCTAGGGAAGGGGAAGGCTCTTTGGGAGGATTTTTGCTCAGGGCCCATGGCTCTGCGCAGCCTGAAGTCACAGGGGAGCCATCTTGAAGGCCTTTTCCTATTATGCCTGTTCTTACATGTCAGACCCCAGAGTTGGCCTGCCTCAAGTGTGCCTGCCCAGGTGGTCAGCCCCAGGGCCCCAGGAGAGATGGGACAGGATAGGACATGGCGGGGAGGCTGCCCAGCCCACCCTCGCCCGCCTCCTCACGTGGTGGCGTTGGGGACCTGCTGCACCCAGCCCACTTCCTTGTAGGCAGCGGTCACGTGGCTGTAGATGAGGCCACGCAGCTTGGCCCAGGCTCTCTGCGTCTCAGGTGGGAAGTCATTGGCAAATTCCTCGGCGACCACCTCCAGAATGACCCCAGAGAGGATCTGGGGGCAAAGGGAGGAAGGGGGAGTGAACGCCTGGGCACCCTGCGTCCCGCAACCCCCGGGCCCCTCTGCCCCATGTGTGGCCAAGAGGATCATTCTTTTTTTTTTTTGAGACGGAGTCTCGCTCTGTCGCCCAGGCTGGAGTGCAGTGGCGCCATCTCGGCTCACTACAAGCTCCGCCTCCCGGGTTTACGCCATTCTCCTGCCTCAGCCTCCCGAGTAGCTGGGACTACAGGTGCCCGCCACCTCGCCCGGCTAGGTTTTTTTTTTTTGTTTTTTGTATTTTTTAGTAGAGATGGGGTTTCACCGTGTTAGCCAGGATGGTCTCGATCTCCTGACCTCATGATCCGCCCGTCTCGGCCTCCCAAAGTGCTGGGATTACAGGCTTGAGCCACTGCGCCCGGCCAAGAGGATCATTCTTAACACAACAGTCTGCCAGCTTTGGGCACCCAGTGCTCTCGGGACAAGGGTTGCCCTGGACTGAGCCCCTCCATCCTGCTGCCGGACACTGCCCCTCCCTCTCGCAGCCACTCGTGGGATCACCTCTGCTGCCCCAGGGAGCCCTCCCAGAGCCTGCGAGCTGCAGATGGCCATGAGGTGTGGGCGGTGGCGGCTCTGCAGCAGATCAGGGCGCATACCTTGAAGTACACTGGCTCCACCTTGTGCTTGAGGGCATGGGCTTTCCCCACAAGGGCCAGCACAGAGGACACCTTGTCGGGGTCGTGCAGGTTCTCCACGACAGTGTTGAGGGCCCCCATGACTCGGCAGGCATGCTTCCGCAGCTGGGGGCTCCGCTCCATCTCCAGGGGTTCCTCCATGTGCTTGAACTGGCTGAAGTACTGCTTGGCCGAGGGGAAGTTCACAAAGAACCTGGCAAGAGGAACAGGGGTGGTCGCTGAAGCTGGAGGCTGCCTCGGGCCCACCCTGAAGCTGCCAGGACAGTAGGGGCTGAAGAAGTGGACCCCAGTCTCCCCCACCCCTGCACCATCACTGTTTTCACTACCATCCGTAGACCTCAGCATAGACCCTCCTCGCTCTGGCCAAGCCGGCTCGCCCCTACCAAGTCTGGCCGTGTCTATCTGCCAGGCTTGCTCAGGCTGGTGGCTTCCTCTCCCAGGCCTGTCTTCCTCACTTCTTGCTTCCTTCCCAAACTCTACACCCTCTTCAGGGCCTGCTCTAGTCATAGCTGAGAGGGTAAGAGCTCAGGTTCTGGAACCATGAGTTGATCTGAAATTAAATCCTCTCCAGTTGGTCTGAAACTGTTCTGATTCTCCCAAAATACTGCTTTCATGAAGTCATGCTCATGCTCGAAAACATTCAATGGCTCCCTATTGTCTGCCAAAGCGAAACTCCTTAACCGGGCATTCCAGACTTCTGAACTGTCCCCCACCCACTTCTTCAAACTCATGCCCACATTCCCCACTATACTCACATCATCCCTGTCCTGGCTCAGTGGCTTTACTTACCGTTGGGAAAATGTTCCTCGGGTGAGCCACATTCCTTTCTACTACCCTTTTCCTGTGTCAGACATGCCTTACCTGGAGCAGACTGGCCCAGGCGAAATGCTTTGCCCCCGAGGCCATTGGCACCACTCAGGTGACCTTCCCTGCCCTCCTTCCAGCCTGTCAGACGGGATCCCAAGGCTCTCACGCACCCTCTGACCCCCTGCCCTAGCTGGGGCACTGCAGTGTGGAAAACGATGGCTTTTTTTTTTTTTTTTTTTTTGAGATGGAGTCTCACTCTGTTGTCCAGGCTGGAGTGCAGTGGTGCAATCTTGGCTCACTGCAATCTCTGCCTCCTGGGTTCAAGTGATTCTCTTGCCTTCGCTTCCTGAGTAGCTGGGACTACAGGCATCTGTCACCACTCCTGGCTAATTTTTTGTATTTTTAGTAGAGACCAGGCTGGAGTGCAGTGGTGCAATCTTGACTCACTGCAACCTCTGCCTCCTGGATTCAAGTGATTCTCTTGCCTCAGCTTCCTGAGTAGCTGGAACTACAGGCATCCATCACCACGCCCGGCTAGCTAATTTTTTGTATTTTTAGTAGAGATGGGGTTTCACCATGTTGGAGGCTGGTCTCAAATTCCTGACCTCAGGTGATCCGCCTGCCTCAGCCTCCCAGAGTGCTGGGATTACAGGTGTGAGCCACCACGCCCGGCCGACAATGACTTTTGTACCTCCTCTCCCTGTCGAGGCTGGACATCATGTGAGACATGGGCATGGACTCAATCAGAACTTACATAACTTAAGTGAATCCCCAGAAAATGTATGGAGTGTCCTGGACCTGTTCTTCCACATTGTTCTGCCCCTTCATGTGTCCCCTTTGTGATCAGAGAGAGCTGATAATTTGCGGAAGCAGCCCTTTGGCCAGGAGTCGAGTCTCAGATGTGAGGGCTAGAACAGATGTGGAGAGGGCATCTGGCCGGGTCGTCCCTGCTGGTGGTGGAGCTGCTATTGGCGGGGGAAGCTTGCACAGTGACCAGGGCACAGTCTGTGTGGAGACTCAGGAGGGCCCCTCCCAGAGGCCAACTGTGATCTTGGGCAAACTGCTTCACAAGCTCGCTGTCTGCAGAAGGGCGAGAGGAGGGCTGCGCTCACTGCTTCATGGATACACGGGTGAGGACACGTGAGGCGATGGGTTTGAAAATACATTGAATTTTCTGGAGAAGCACTGTAATGAGGGACAAATGTGAAAAACCCAATTTGGACTTAAACGAGCATCTCAAACTTTGGAGGTTTTACAATTGCAATAAAAAATAATGATATGGCCGGGCACGGTGGCTCACGCCTGTAATTCTAGCACTTTACGACGCCAAGGCGGGTGGACTGCTCGAGCTCAGGCGTTTGAGACCAGCCTGGGCAATGTGGCAAACCCTGTCTCTACAAAATACAAAAAATTAGCCAGGTGTGGTGGCACACACCTTTGATTCCAGCTACTCAGGAGTCTAAAGTGAGAGGATCACTTGAACCCAGGAGGGCAAGGCTGCAGGGAGCCAAGATTGTGCCATTGCACTCCAGCCTGGGTGACAGAGTGAGATCCTGAATCAAAAGAAATAATGATAATAATAATAATAAAAGGCCAGGTGTGGTGGCTTATGCCTGTAATCCCAGAACTCTGGGAGGCCAAGGCAGGAAAATCACTTGAGGCCAGGAGTTCGAGACCAGCCTGGGCAACATAGTGAGATCCTGTCTCCAGAAAAAAAGAAAGAAATTGGCTGGGTGTGGTGGTGACCGTCTGTACTCCTAGCTACTTGGGAGGCTGCAGCAGGAAGATCCGATCGCATCATGAGCCCAGGATTGGAGGCTGCAGTGAACCTTGATGGCACCACTGCACTCTAGCTTGGGTGACAGAGCAAGACCCTGACACAAAATATTAACAATGATATATATATATATATTTGCCTGATGTGTTACAATGTTTTTGTACTTTTTCTTTTTCTTTTCTTTTCTTTTTTTTTTCTTTTTTCTTTTTGAGACAGAATCTTACTCTGTTGTCCAGGCTGGAGTGCAGTGGCGCAATCTTGGCTCACTGCAACCTCTGCCTACCGGGTTCAAGGGATTCTCCTGCCTCAGACTCCCAAGTTAGCTGGGATTACAGGTACCCGCCACCACACCTGGCTAATTTTTGTCTTTTTAGTAGAGACAGGGTTTCACCATGCTGGCCAGGCTGGTGATGAACTCCTGACCTCCGGTGATCTGCCTGCCTCAGCCTCCCAAAGTGCTGGGATTACAGGTGTGAGCCACCGTGCCCGGCCTGTTACTGTATTTAATTGCCACAGCTAAGCAGGTATTACTTCTATTTTACTGATGCGGAAAGAACAGGGAACATTTATTGAGCACTTACTGTATGATCTCACGAATCCTTGCAATTCTCTCCTGAGATAGGCACTGTTTTAATCCCCATCCTATGAATTAGGAATTGATGTCCAAGATTGCCCAACAAAGTAGATGGCAGCGCCAGGAAAGGGCCCAGGCAGGCCCTACTTTGACAGTTTCCCCACACTGCCTGGAGAGACAGCTGTGCCAGGGGATCGTGGCCTGGTAACCAGGTGTCTCCTGCCTCAACACCCACCACCGGGTTGTGGCCCTGAGGAATGACAGTCTCAGGGAGCCCCCACCCAGACCCTCCACGGTTCTGTCGCCCCTGGGGCCCATGTGCCTGGCTCCTTCCTCCTGGCTCCGCGGTGTTTCCACCTGAGACCCTCCCGATCTCAGCCTGTGCTGCCAGGGAGGAGTCTCCACAGCCAGCCCTGGGGAGTTTCTCGGCTCCCAGAGACATCTGGGCTTCCAAGAGAGCCTGAAATAGGCCTGTCTGAGTGTGAGGAGGAAGGTGTCAGAGTTACAACCAGGAGGGAGGGTGGGTGTTCCCTCTTGGTCTCCTCCTTGGCAGGGAATGGAAGTGTGGGGTCTGCCTCAGGCTCCAAAAGCAACGCCTCCTCCACCCCCACCAACGTGGCAACTTCTCCAGGTTGGGGATGTGGAGGTGCAGCTGCCTCCCTCCTGCCCTGCAGGCTCATAAGGGCTGACGGCACTGGCCTGGCGCAGTGGGGAGGGCAGAGGTGAGAGTGCTGGCCAGAGGGCTGCAGCTGGGGCCTTGACCTTGAGGATGTGTACGTTGTGTGTGGGAAGACAGGGCACTGTGTCAAGACTGACGGGCCTAGGATCTGAGGAGGGACCTTCAGGAGCCCTTATGCCCCTTTCCTCCCCTTCCCCCACTGCCCAGGCCCTGGACAGAGACAGGAGGAGAGAAAAAGGAAAGCAAAGCCCTGCGGGGCTTGGGCTGGCAGGGAGTGGCTGAGACAAAGCTGGGCCAGGCTGTCCTGGGGCTGGGCTCTAGTCCACACAGAAGTGGAGTCAGAGTAGTGAGGGGTTACTCTGGGCACTGACCGCATTGGTGATGACCTCCCCCAGCCCAGGCCCAGGCCCCTCTGCAAGACAGGAGTGGGGAACTGGAAGAGGGATGTAGAGAGAGAAAGAAATCCTTGCTGAAAACTCGGACTGCCCAGACATGGCCCTGGTCTCGGTGTTTCATTTCCCCCTTGGCATCTGCCCTTCCCTGGTCCCCTTCCTGGGGAGGGTCAGTGGTGCCCTGAGATGTGGATGGTGAGCCCTTCCTCCACGTATCCGCACAGGTACATGGCAGGGGTTGGGACAGAAAACCTCCCAGGTCCTGAAGACCCTGCCTCACTTCTTCATGGTGACACATGAGTGTGCCAGATGCATGCGAGGCCGGTGGCTGCAGGTGCTGACACGCAGCTGACGGCGCCCTCCGAGGATGCAGTCTGGCGCGTCTGTGGCTCTGCTACCCACTGTGTGCTTGTATGGGTGCCAGCACGTGTGGGGATCGGTGGTTCCGAGCATCTGAGGCCCTAGTATCCCAATGTCCCTCTTAGCTTCTTGTCACTCCCAGCTGTGTTGCTGGGCCTGGGGGCTGCTGAGATAGCTGCCCTATCCTTAGGAGCGCTCCTGTAACTCCTTAGAACCCTTAGAAAGGCTTCCTGCTCTTTTTCCACCAAAATCTGCTTCCGAGTTGGAATCAGGGCATATCATGGTGGAACTGGATAGGTCCCAGGCTTGGGAGAGGCCACAGGGAGAAGAAGCTGGAGACGGAGCTGGCCTGGGAGTCAGGCATGCACTAAAGCTGCCCTTCCAGAGCGAGGCTTCACCCCATCTGCACATGACAAGGCTGCCCTACTCTGTCCTAGATTTGACCACTTTCCTCTGCCAAGAACAGGGGGGCTTGAGGGTGAACATGGTCTGGGGCTCCTCTGCCTGCACCCCCAGGGACCAGCACGTGTGGGAAGAGAGCATGGATTTGTAGCTAGAGTCAGTGACTAGCTTTCGAGGCTTGGACACATCACCTCTATGAGGATGGTGTGTGTGCTCTATGCGCAGGTGTGTGAAGAACGGGGTGCTCTCTGTTTGTGGGTTTCTTGGGGGCATGTGGTGCCTGAATGACCCCTAAGCCCAAACCACTGCATTTCCTCCCTAGGTGGGGGGTTTTAGGGTTAGGCCCTGTCTCCTGAAGCTTCTCTTTTCTTCCCCTCACCCTCCTAACTCAGCAGGGATTGTATCCTAGGGGACTGTTTGCTTCTCCACTCACCTGTGCCTGCCCTGGGAGCTCCTGCTGGCCCATGCCGTCCAGCAGGAAGAGGGCAGCTGGGAACACTGGACCCCCGTGCTCTCCTCCTTCTCAACCTCTGCTCTTTGCTCTCTGTTCTTCCAAGAGGCTTTGAATCTGGCAAGCGGCGAAGCTGGAGACAGGGGTCTGCTCCTCTTTGTCCCCCTTCTGAGTTGAGCCTCGGTTTTCCCATCTCTAAAATGGGGAGCCCCTGCTACTCCCTTTGAAAGGCCAGAAAAATGTGTGTGTCTGACAGCTTGGCTGGGTGTCTGGGGTCGCTGGCCGAGCAAGGAGTTCTGAGGCCAGGGAGAGGAGGAGGACCGAGGTGCTCTCCTGCATCTGGTTCCTAGTTCCTGGTGAGCACCGCGCCGGAGCCAGGGAAGGCTCAACCAAGGCTTCGTTCACCCCAAGGCGCCCCACGCTGCCTGCCCCGCCGACCTCGGACCGGCCCCATTCGCGGCTGGGGAGGTGGCGCTGGAGCTCGGACCCGGGCCCAGCCCGCCCGGAGCCGCTACCGCCCTCCCTGCCCAGGGCCCGGCCGGGCCGGGCGACACCTACCTCACCAGGATGGCCACCCCCACGTCCTCGCAGTTGGCATAGAGCCGGGCCCACGTAGCCTGCACCGCCTTCCTCTCCGCCTCGGACAGCTCCTCGCTCCGCTCCCTGCGCTCGATCTCCATCTCGCCTGGCACTTTCTCCATGAGGAGCTCCAAGCCCAGCCCGGCTTTGCTCGGA